CATTAAAACAAACATTAATAGCTAGCAACTCTTCATTCCTCCATACGAGCAATAAAACCACCAAAGGTCAGCAGAAATCAGCTGGGGTCCTAGTTTTAGGATTCATCACCACAGAGCAACTACTTCAGTCCATTTGGGAGCTCTGAACAGAAAGCACATCATTTCCATTTAATAAACACTCAACGCATACAAGTTACACATAAAACCAGGAAAAAAAAACCTCTTATGGAAAGCAAAGAAAAAAAAACGGCCCCATTCCCTTTGCTGGCATCTCTGGTTCTTGCCTTTTGTCTGCCAACATCCGTGGAGTTCCCGGAGGAACTAAACCCGGCCCCCCCAGCACTGCCCAGCCCTTCGTGCTCTGCCGTCCCCGACCCGGAGCACACAACAGCAAAACCTCACAGGCCACCCCAGAAATCATTACCCCGAGCGCGTACTCCGTTCAAGTGGGATCACAGCAACGCACTTGGGCATTTGCAGGCTGCCCCGACGGAGTCAACAAGACCACTTTTACTGGAATTCCTCCCTCAGCAGAATTCCTTCTCGAGTACCCTAACCTTTAACAGGACACATATTTGCTCAAATACAAAAGCTACTTAAGTTTAAAAGTCAACCTCAACTCAAACAATACCTGGATAATGGATTGCAGGCCAATTATTTATCACCCTTCTTATGTTACAGTTCCAAGCCAACACTGAAAAATGCATTTTTGCTGCTCAGCTAGAGACTAGTGGGTAAACTGATGCTGAAGCTGGCAGATAAAAGAAAAACCGTATTAAAATTTTTTTCAAAATTTTATTTAAAAAATACTGGAATCAGTCCATTTGTCAGTTATCTGCCTAGCCAAGTAATTTATCTACAATTCTAAAAGCAGCAAGTGCTTGGATTAACACTGGCAGAGTTGGGCAGATGACGACATTGACTGCTCTAGGAGCTGGACAAGCGAGTTCAAGTGATTAAATGCATTCAGCTCCTCTAGTTACACTAATGACTGATTATCTTTTAATCCCAGGCAAGGGGTAGATCAACTGTGATCCCACACAGAACCACAGCACTCACTGATGTGGTTATAAGCACCACACTGAGAGCAGCTGAGTAAGTTATTCCATTTCTGTTCCTGAACCGTGGTTGCTGGTCAAAGGCAATGTTGTCACTACCTCGAGTAAGAGCCACTGTAAGTTCCCTTTCCCACCAAGGGCACACACAGTATCCAGTTGTTAACCTGCTCAACCAAGAAAAAGCAGCTGTCCGCTACCAGAAACTTAATTAAGTCTTAAAACCACTATCAAGTCATTAAGGCCAACTCTAAGCAGATGTTTTAGGTCACTCCCCTACCCCCATAAATATCACTAGGAGGAGGAACCATCAACTACATGATGTACAACACCCAGCATCAGCTTACTGTAACCGTGGGTATAAAACGAGCCGGGTTGCTTCCCCGGAGCACAGCCTGGGGCTACAACTCCCTTCCCAGCTCTGTGCTGACAACGCACCACCATCGCCCCTGCACGCAGCTGCCGCAGCACCCTCCAGGGCTGCGTGCCCCCAAACCAGCCCAGCACACCCCAGCCCTGCTCATCTGGGTCCCCCAGAAAATGCAGGAAGAAACAGGGAGGGAGAAGGGCAGCTAGCACACCTAGCTTTTTATGTGACCACATGAGAAAGATGCCCTAAGCACACCCTTCTGGGTTTGCACTTATTTTTTCCTTATCTCTAATACTGAAGAACTTAACACTCCAACTCGAGCCCTGGCCTCTCCAGGGGAGTGCTCAGCATCAGCTGTTCCCAGTCACTCTGGCAATCACATCTTTAACACTTGTCACTTAAGATTCATCAAACCACAGAGGGAAGTGACCCGCTTTCAAGAAAAACAGATCATTCCTTGATTTCATGAGCATATTTGAAACAGCTGCAAGGGATGGGCTCAACACCATCAGCTGCACCTGTACAAATGCAGTGACCTCCTGGGGGCTAAAGCAAGTCCTGGTGAGTGAGTCAAGTCCCATTCCAAAGCAGGACTGTGCGGTCATTATTTTCCTTGCTGCCAAATCCGTATTTTTTTTTCAAGTTTAGCCCTTGACAATATTGTCACAAGCCACTTTTGGGGATTACCTTCAGGGTTCAGCTGCACCACAGCGTCTCCTGCTCAGCTCAGGCTGGCAGCTCCTTTTGCACCAACCGCTTTATTTCCCCTCTAGCAGCGACACTTTGCCTTCCAGTTCCACAAATGCAACGTCAAGGAAGGAACTCTGCCTCCACTTAACCGGGAGCAACGACACTCAAGACAGGCTTTGGAGAAGAAGCTGCACCCTTCTGGGGTCCCCCCCAGCAGACAGCAAAGCATCGCTCCCTGGGGCTGCGACACATCTCTGCACTGTTACAGCTAGCGGGAGGTCTGGGGAGAAATTGTTTCCTGTAGTAGCTTAGCAAAGAGTAGAGAAAACTAACCTATTAATGACAATCATTTTTTTTTCCAACCCCTACGCAGATGAATTTGTGTTTTGTAAGTAGGCAGCCAGCCTCTGGCACCCAGAACTGAAGGCGGGTGGCTTTCGGATGCCTCAAATCCCAAACTGCAACCTATGAATTCACCAACGTAACCAGCCCGGGTAGGATGCTTGCAGAGCTGTACAGCCCAAACACTGTGTGGCCCATCAGTCCTCAGCCCCCCTCGGGCACAGAAGCGGGGTGCAGCAAACCCGCATCCCTCGGGCAGCCCAGCGCAGCCGGAGCGTGTCCGCATCTTGGGCTGGCAGCTGGATACGGGAGTCCCAGAGTCTGGTCCCGCCTTCGGCAGAATTTCTGCTTTTCAAAATATGTTTGTAATTTAATGGCACTTTAATATAAAACAAATAAAATTTTAAAAAAGCACTTCGAAGGAAGCAGAAGTCAGCCAAAAGCCTCAACAATTAGGCTACAGCAAGAGTCTCCCTCCCACCTGCAGCGACCCAGCCCGGGCAAGGGGGCTGGGGACTCCCTATCCCAGATCCCAGCCCCCTTGCCCAGGTTTCAAGCTAGAAAGAACAGATCTCCTGGTTAGACAATTAGTTTAATTGTCTAACTAGACAATTACAGGATAAAAATTAATATGGCACCACACCAGCCACACTCAGTCCTCTGCAGAGAGGCAGGCTTGCACAGACCCACCACCAAGTGAAGCCCCAGCTCCCCCAGCAGCCCCTTCCCCATGGCTGGGAGCTACAGGGGAAGCCAATTCCTCCCCAGTTTGAACATTTTCAGGTATTATTTCCAAAGCTAGTGAGGTCTCTTCTTGTGTTAAGAGACCAGAGCCTAAGCAGAGCACTCTACACCCCTATTTACACCCCAGGGAGTTGTTTATCACCCTCTGGGAGCAGTTGTTAGCGTACAGCACATTGGAGCATCGCCCCTCTCTTCAGTGGGAACAGAATTAAAAAAGGGTCCGATTTAAAAGGCTGCCACACACAGTAACATGAAGCAACACCCCACGACTGCTACTTGTGTTACACCTCGTTGTGATCCCAAGTGAGACTGGCCTGATGAGAATTATCCTCACATCTCCCAGGTTTGCTGAATCAAACAAGGAATTTGGCAAGCCACCTGCCTAGGCAAAAGCAGACTTTGTTTTTTCTTGTTTAACATTAAACCAAACTTTTTTCCAAAGCAACAGGAAAGCAGGCTCCCGCCGCTAAATTAAGATGTTCATCTTCACAACAGGAAGATTTTTTACAGTCACCGAGAGGCAATTTTGCGTTTTGCTGCAACACATCCCACATTACTGGGGAAGAGAGAGGACCTCCCCGTGCCCAGGGGTGTAGACTGAGCCCCAAAAGCTGAGTGTCTCCCCTCGCAGCACAGACACTCCGGTGCGTGCCCGACCCCGGCAGCACGGCCGGACCCGCCGGCTGCTGCTCCCTGTGCTGCCCCGGCCTTTCCCGGTCCCAGTCTTCCCTCCTCTCCATCCATCTCCTCCTGCCTCTCCTCCAAAAAAGCCCTCGCTGGAACACTTGGTAAGGGACAGTCCAAAAAACAAGGACACAAAGCCGTGTAATAGGCACGTTTGAACTCAAATGCAAACCAAGTCTCTGCAAAACGTGCTCTCTCCCATAATTATTTTTTTAAAACTCAGGGTACGTGTTTTCCCTTTTCTGTCACAGCTTTGGCAGCTGAATGAAAAGACGGCAAACAGCTTGTACGCGTTACGATGATATTTTTTAAGTTATAGCTCCTTTCAAAGCTTTTCAATACTCTCAGTGTTTTGCTCAAGCGCTCCAGCAGCAGCTGCCCAGGAGAAACTCAGCAACATTACCCAGCCTCAGCACGCCACGGGGCAGCTTCGGGTGTCCAGCCCTTTCCCAAGGCAGCCCGATGGCAATGGAAACACCAGCACCCGTGGGAACGTGCCCAGCTCGGGCACAGCACCTCAACCATCCCGCAGCCCACCGCACCGCCTCGCTGGGCTCCTTCCCGCACGGGGGACGGTTTGTTTTCACCTAGATCTGCGCACAAAGCCTATTTCAAGCTAGCCGCGGTGCCTTAGTGAAGAAATTTCCAGAATACATCTTTGTGAGGTTAAATACAAGTGTGAGTGCACTTACACAGTAATTACTACCAGCCCACAGGGAGCCCATAACACAGCAGAGAAACTTCTTGCTGACTTTACTCCTGCCTTCCTAAAAAAAAAAATCCCCCAACAGCCTGTGAACTCAGTCCAGGGCAGGAGTCCAAGCCCTCTGTAGCACTGAAGCACTAAAAACTTTGAAAGCGGATCTTTATGAATTAACATCCCCCAAAATAAATCAAGCGGGGAGAAGGCTTGACTGCTCTGCGTTAACAGGAGCGGGGGGGGGGGGCGCTGAAAA